AGAATAAAAAAACGAATCAAGGTCACAGTCAGTGGTGTGTATCTGGGGGGGCATACCCTTGGGAGGAGGTCCAGACCCGTCTTTTCCCCTCTACTTACGGAGAGGGACTGCTTCCTTACTTCATTTTTTCAATGAATGGAACTAATTTCTTCATTTTTGTGTATGGAAATACCAAAGTGGCTAAACACAGGGGAAGTATATTCCCATTTCCACTCCACACAGTAAGTATATAGGATAATTGGGACCTAGGACATCTTCATAACCCTCTAGGATTGAGGATGACTTTGTTAATTAGTATATTAAATTCGTTGTTGTTTGAACTAATGGACTTGTAACTGTTTGATTGCACTTGTTCTTTTCGAAAATATACACATAGAAACAATTTTATTTTAGTAAATTCCAATATTATATTTGAACTATAAGTTTTCTCAAAATCTAATAACAAATATATTTATCTAGTATAAACACAGCTAAATAGTTACAATGAATATAGGTGAAATTTTTAAACAGGTTTGGCCCAGTATTCGTAATTCCTTTTATATATTTTATATAGACAAAATAGTAATCAATGATATTTTATCGGATTTTTTGAGGAATTAATTTGGAAAGAGGACAATACAACATTTCTGGATCTGTACCTGAATTGAAAGAAATTACATTATGAACTTCTAAGTATTCCATCAGAAAATAAGTTTTAAATTTTCAATCTCAGATTCGAACGAAACAGTCAATCAACTGAACCGCTGAAAAGGTATTATTTCATTCGACATATAATAGTACTGAAAATATTAGATTTTAACAAAAGTCTACCATAAAATCACATGTAGAATTCTGGGAGGGGAGCCAAATACTATAATTTATGAACCGGGTAAAACGTCAATCTTTTCCATATGAAACTTCCGGCAGAAAATTTTCATTACTACGTATATCTAAGTTATTTCGTTTACTCCATACCATTATAGAATATCCCACTGAAGGCGTTTAATCAAAGAGTGTAAACTTTCATGGCCGAAGATAACTATGTCAAACTATTTCCCGGGTTTGGCTGTGATCTGTAGTTTTTCGTCTAACGTTTCGTCCACGACTGCGGTGAACATTATCAAAAGCGATGAGGCAACGGTCACAGTTCTCAGGTTGTCCTAACAACACATACTACTTTGTTCACTGTCTGTATTTTAGGATTTATTCCATCAATGGTGAAAATGGCTTCATTTATATTACTTGAATTGTGTGTAACTTAGGACAGATAATCAGTTTTTTTTTAATTATGTCCTTCTTTATCTTTATCTCTGTATATGAAATTCTATGGCCCCTCTTGTATAATCTTAGGTAGTATTTCTGAATTGTGTCAAGTATTTGTGTTTTATCTAACGAAATAACGTATGATCGGCAACAATTTATTCATTTGTTCGCTTGTGTTTGGAGAGAGGGTATCTATACTTTTTTTGTGATGCAATGGTAGGCATACCGGTAGCTATAAGATATTTGGGATACCCATGGTATTACAAACTGCTCAATGGGTCCTTAGCAGACCTTAAACACTCTCTAATAGTTCACGATATCTCTCTCCAGAATTTTCACAATCCGCTCCGTGATATTTTTAACATAAGGAAGGCAACCTTTTCCATTACCAGACCTATCAGCTGGAGTTACTTTAGCGTTTTCTCCGCTAGGTCGTAGCACCCGTTCAATTCGACTTCAACTGTCTAAAAATATACAGTAAAGCGATAGAAATTCATAAACACAGAGACAATTTCAACTGAAAGGAAGAGGGTATAGAGGCATGTATAGAATCTGGCTGTCTGCCCTCAACTGCACACAAACCGGTTCATTTAATTCAACTAACAAGAAGCTTTTAATACCGCTGGGATAAAACTGAAGACCCAGATAGATAACGAAGTAGTATGTGCTATGAGGACAACTAGAGAATTGAGTCCATTGTCTGATCGCTTCCGATAAAGTTCAGCGCAGTCGTGGAGGAAACGTCAGGTATAAAAACCTGCAGGCCACGGCTAACAACCCGGAAAATAGCTTGACATAAATGAGATTCCATGAATTAGTTACAATTAAATGAAAAATTATCGGTAGGTAACATGTTATTTATTATATAATTGGTATCTTCGATGATTACATTAAAAAGAAAACTGCATGTGACAAATAATAATACTTGTGTTTTACAGTGATTATAACTCCACCGATTTTTTTCATTCCTATCACTTTTCTGGAATATAATTGAAACAGCAAATTTTTTTAAGAATACTACAACCTTATTTATTATACAGTATTGCCAGGAGCACTGGCTCTTCAGACTTTGACTTTACTTCACTTTTGAATCGAAATCTGAAATTGATTCAGATTTTGTCAAACTAATAAAAATACAAGAGATTCAGCCTTTTTTGTGAATTCAGAATGTTTCTTCTTCTTCCTGTAGCCGCAATATGTCAGATTTATTCAAGAAATAGTAGGTCGGTTGTCTTCCTTTTAAATCTTTGGTAACCCTCTGAGCACCAGCTTTGATCAATACCCTACTAATTGATTCCATTTTTTCTACCCCCATCGCATAGTGCAACGCTGTTCTCTCCAACTGCAATAAAAAATGTAATCATTAATGTGAAACAAGAAATCATACCAAATTAGAATATATAAAAACCGTTAGCGGGTTCTGGAAGCCAATTTTGATAATATTATTTTGACAACTATGCCACTTAATATCTCATGATTTCAAAAACCGTATGATTCAGATCATCATCATATGAAAATTTGTAAACATATGCCAGTGTTGTGCAATTACTTATCTGCAATCAGTACATGGAATATAATTTTGTCGAATATCGATGATTGGATCGCCTCTAGGTTTTGATATTATAGAGTGACAGTTCTACAAGAAATTCTCGATTACTGAAGTAGGTTATACTGCTTATTAAATTGTGTATATCATACTCGTAGTCATTGAAGAAAATTATCTCATAGCGTGTTTCTTATCCTTTACCTAATATAGGTAAATAAAATGATAAACCATCATAAAAAGACGAAAATCAACAACTGTTAGTGAAAACTATTTGTAGAATAATTACCAATTTTTCATTTATGACAAGAAATAATCTATAACTTCTTTCGGTCACCGAAAAAAATATTCATTAGTTACACAATGTAATACTTCAAACTTTTACTGTTCAAAGGATTTCGGATGAAAACTCTCATTTTCAACTCCTCAACAATGATAAATGGTAACACTGGATCCTCTGAGGTAGAACAAATGCGAAACAAGCACGTTTCCCAATCATCAGAAATGCTATACATTCATCGACGTGAGTTTCATCAACCAAGTTAGGAGATGAAGAAAACTTCACTTTCCCAAGAAAACTCCATCTTCTGAAAATGCCAACATTGCAGATGAAAAGCGCATAGAGTATTGCATATCTGGTGATTGGGAAAAGTGCATGTTTTGGATCCTCAACAGTAGTTGTTTGGATAAATAAAAAAACATTTTGATATTTTTGAATATTTAACACTCTCGAAAATATATCTGTTAGGTACAACACAATGATAATTCGAAAATAACTGTTATAAGGCAGAACAGAAATCATTTATATTGATTTGAGTAATTGAATGTCGTTTCTTTTTTTCTCAACCGCGAAAATTCGGGAATTTGCGGAAATTTTTTAAATGGTTTATCATACCGATATAGTACTTTTTGATCTTGTTCATAAAATTACCACTTCTCACACTATTTCACGAAATTAGAATCATTTGAAAGAATGTGCATATTTTTGATCCCATGTCACTGAATTTGAAATTTTTTGACTGACACAAAATGATAATATTCAGTCGATTTCTTTCTCCGGTGAAATAGTCGTAATTGAACACTTTTCCTCAGCAGAACAAAAATGCTGTCTCTCGGCGCGCGTTTCGCTAACTAAGTCATGATCATCAGGAGAAGACTAAAACTATTTCTCACATGCTATGATGTGTTTATATGAATCTATATGACTCATAACCATAGTGAAGGTCAATCAATAAACTCCTAGTATTTTGTTATTGTTCTATTGATATTTACCCCTTGACTGATACCTAATCTTTACCTTACAAGCGATGTTGATGTTTTTATAAGCATCTAATCTACACGAATCATTACCCTGCATAACGATGGGTCACGGGTCGAATACTTTATTTCTAGTATTTCTAGTAGTGTTTGTTCAATCTAATTTCACATTTTTCGGTTTCTTGCATTTCTCATTTATTCTGTGGCCGTTTTCTATAAGATAAACTCGATTTCTCTGGGATATGAAATCGAAGAGTTGCAAGTTCCTTAGCGGCTTAGTTTGCCCGACATATTTTTTATTGCAATCCTCACAGCTTCTTTTGTAAATCGCAGATTTTTTTTATTTTTCCGTTGTCTTGTATTTCGGGTTACAAATACTTTTTGAAGTGTACGAGCAGTTCTGAAAGCCACTTTCATATTCAATTTTTCAAAAATTTGAACCGATCCCTAGCTGTATTTTAGTTTGTATGAAGGAATTGTAAATTTTGAGTCTTCATCTTTTTGAAAAGGCGAAGATTTACGAAGGCACTGGCCAAAGAACAACTAGGGGAAGGTGGTACAAAATGATCCCTCGAGGTAAAATGATCCCTGACTCCTTTACCGACTTAATAGCGCCATCTAGGATATTTTTTGTGAATTTCTGGTTCCTACGGCCTAGCTGTACAATCTGTGTCAGTGTCATGGCGTTGTTCGTTATAGAAAAGTTTTTATCACAAAAAATTCAAAATTCCTATGTTAAGAAGGAGGAATAAGGTGTGAAGGTGACCTAGTGAATAGATGCTTGTGTTTTTAAATAGTTTATTTTGTGAAAAAGAAGGCTGAAAAGTTGCCCTATTCAGAACTTTGAAGGGCCGTAACTTTGTAAATAAGGGAGAGCGCCGCTTTTTTCTTTCGGATTCATAATCTACGCATCAAAATACGTAAGTATACACGCAAAAATTTTTTCAAAATCGCCGGGTGTCCTCAAAACGAAAATTTACCATGGCAACACCTAGATATAACATTCAAAACCATTTCTGTTGGGAAACATAATAAGAAATAGGCTATGACTAGGCTGTAGTACTTCTCACATTACGGCTTCCGCCCTAGTTGGTCGTTGGTCTTAAACCTCCCTTCTTTGAAAGATATCTCAGCTCCTCATAATATAATTCGAATAAATTCATGTTATTCGTATGTATTGTAAATGAAAAAATTACCATGAGAAGTGACCTTACGCCGCTCAGCACCCTCTCGCTGCAAGAATTTTCATGATTGCCCTCATTGATACTGCAATAGACATTGTTTCGAAAGATATCGAAAATCTTCATTCGTGCATCAAGTAGAAATGAAAACATAGAATTCAATTGCCCAGAATCCTACTTCTATTCCAATGTAAGTCATGGCATTCAAATTGTTATTCTATTTCTTTGATATACGATTTTCATGATAAATGCTTCATTTTGAAACGCGAGTTATTTTGGTTTGCTGATAATTTTATTAAGTTGTTTCAATAGTTTTGTCCGATTTTTTTAGTCTACTTTAAACTGTAATTTGATCGAAATAAGCACCATATGAATCAGTATACTTTTGCCAACGTAACATGAGTCGATTATTTCCGTCAGCATAAACATTGTGTACTGAGGATTTGATGAAGTCGACGAAGGCCGTTTTTGCCTGGTGCTGATCGGCGAAGGTTCTCCCAGATAGGCAGTCATCGAAGTCAGCTGGCGAGCGGTCTGGGGAGTATGAAGGGTGAGGCAGAACTTTGACGCTCAATTCGTTTAATTTTCGTATGGTGATTTGTGAAACGTGCGAACGGGCGTTGTCGTGGAGGAAGATCGGACTTCTTCTGTTGACCAGTGCTGGCTGCCGGTACATTTCGTCAATTACCTCACAATTGTGTGATGACCTGGCCGGTTGCAGAAAGTTATAGTGTTATAGTTTCAAACTTCAATATAAGGTGAAAACAGGCAAAAACTCAAAATTTGGAATCAATGACCAGCATCAGTGTATAGATCAGTATGATCAGTACCACGACACAGTAGAATAATTATTTATTGAGATTTAAACCTAATAGTTCATTTCCAGTATCGGAACTAGCGCCGCTACTGAAAACGACGTTTGGATAATTGACGTACTTATAGATGGCATCAGCTCCTATAATGAAAATGCATTAAAATCATCTGCATACCAAATTAATTCGTATATCATAAAAACTCCTATCTCATAGAATTTCGGTAATATATTTTGAAAGGTAGGAACATGTGGAATGCCGAAGAAGTATCAATATTCATCGTTGTGTAATTAAAATCATTTTCTCATTTTTATGGTATAGGGCTTATTATGATGAGTCCGCGTTTTGTAATAATTCGGGTTACACAGAAATGAGAGAAACATTTAAATAGGACAGCCAAAGAAACTGAAATTGTATTATTGATATCTCTAGCGATTGAATGAAATTTCGAAAATATTGAAAATTCACTAACAAAATAATTGTACCTACCTATATTCCATTGGAACTGTATGACTACCTTTGTAAATCATTTTTTCTCGCATTCTTCAAAGTTCGATATTGAATTATAACACGTCTATAAAAATGGTCTAAATTTAAATGACTCTCAAAAAATGTCGAGTGGCTAATAAATTGATAATTGAATAGAACTGGCCAAACTGTACATCTAACATTCATAGTGGAACTGAAATAGATTTTATTCATTAGAAAAGCTATACAAATAAATTTTGATTTTATTCTCAAATCAATCAATCAAACACTGATTTTATTCATTCGCCATTACAAAATATATCTCAGAAATTATTGTAACTGCACATTCCTTCTATACCTAGCTTTTTCAAAGATATTTATTGTATTGATTACATAGGAGATATCCAGTGCCTTCTTTGAGGCATCTATAAAAGGTATATAACTAACGATAAAGCATTATAAAATATATCTCACGTTGTCTCCAAGTTTCAATGTATCTGGAAAATGGTTTGATACAAAATCGACTATTTCTTCTTGTTGACACAGAACTGCAATATGAAGAGTGCATCGGCCGTAACTATTCTTTCCTATTGCCAGAAGTTTCCCACTACCAGTATCGTTTTCGTCAGCTAAAAGATCAGTGACATCATTTATAGAACCTTGCCGGATTGCGTGATGAACTCTTTCCCGTTTTTCCTAAAAAAAAATAGTTAAGGGTTGGTATGTCTGAATTATTGACATACAATTTAATTGAACAGTTCAATTTAATTCAAATTGTATTGAATACAGATAGTGTATTTCCTTGATTTTCACCACCTTCCTCAGGGCAACTAAGTTATGAGTTCGTTATCACATATTGCCATTTGGGTACTAACAACAAAATCACTATTTTTAGATAACATAAGAATTCTGAAATTATTTCAATTGAAATCACACTGATATAAATTCAAGGAAAGACATTTTGATTAGAGGACGATATGCATTTTTTTACTGATAATTTAGCACGAAGGTATAAATTTGACTCGGATTATTCAGATCAGTGTTTTTGTTGATACATCATCAACTAGTATGCACCATCTCCAAAAAAAACTTTTGTATAATTGGCTCCTCTTCAAAGAACAGTGGAATAACTAGTCTATTTTACTTATTTATACAGTGCATTTCTTTAATGTCCCCCCTTTTATTTTTTGAACGGGTCAACTGAAAAAAAAATAAATTTGGGATATTGAAATTAATGCATGAATACTCTATTTTGAAGTAAAATTGACAGATAAAACTTTCAAGATGGCGACTGGGCGCCATCTGGGGAAAACAAATCAAACAGAAAGGGGGGACTTGTGACACATCTTTTTGAAGCTCCCGACAAATGCTTCGCAACCCTAGAATATGATGTCAATATCTTCAACTACAACTACAACGAAACTTTTAATAATTGCCTTATACATTAACATTTAACTACATAATATGAGGAAGTAAGCTTGAGGTCAGTTCAGAAGATATTCAAAATGGTTGCCTTGAACTTCTTGACATATGAACAGTCTATCCGATATTCCACGCCGAACATTTTCGAACACAATAACGTCAATATCTCTACAAATATTTATTATTCTCTGCCGTATATCCAATATTGAAGCAGGTTCAGTTTCGTATACCTTTTACTTCAAATAGCCTCATAAAAAGTCCAAAGGTGTCAAACCTGGAGAGCGAGCTGGCCATTCTGTAGAACCTAGACGGCCAATCTAACGTTTGGGAAAAGTAGTATCCAAATAGTTTCTTACTTGTCTAAAGTAATGTGGTGGTACTCCATCTTGTTGGAATACAATATCCACATCGAATTCAAAAGGATTCGCTTCGACGATTTCAGTGATGAGAGGGTCAACAGTAGTTTCCAGCATATTCAAATACAGTTCCCCTGTTGAATTTTGATCAATAAATAGAAGTCCTACGATATGGTTTCCCGAAATGCCTGCCCATATGTTAATTTTTTCTGAATATTGGGTATGTGTTTCACAGAAAACCTAAGGGTTGGTATCACTCCAATAACGGCAATTTTGTCTGTGAACATTGCTGTTTGAAAAAAAAAGTACATTCGACACTAAAACAAATATTGTGGTAGGATGCCTTGCAATGGTTTCTAATTTTGTATGGATGAAACCTATTCCTCATCAAGAGACACCTCACAAACATTCGTGACGGAATAAGTAGACTGTTCAGGATTTACTACCATCTAACTAATTATTTGCACTTGCTGTTCTTTCGGAATGGACGGATGACCTGGGGGCTTTTTGTTATGTACACTACCGGTAGTTGTGAATTTGGATACAAATTTCTTTAAATATTTTCTACAGATAGGACGATTTGGAAAACGTTCACTGAAAGTCCTTTCGGTCTCGTGAAAGTTACGCGTCGTACCGTAAATAAAAATCGCTTTATTCTTTTCTTCCAATGGACAAGAATTGACCATTTTAGAGATTGTTGACGTGATACCTTTATACGAGTAAAATCAAAAATTAAATGAGAATATTCTAACTGAACAATGATGTTTATTGTCGAACTGATATTTTTTGTCGTTTTTATAAACAAAAAATTACTTAACAAACCTTATCGGGTTGTTAGAATTGCCATATGGCAGATAAAAAAAACATATTTCTAGAAATATCCATAATAATGTGTTCGTTGAAGTAAAATTGACAGATAAAACTTTCAAGATGGCGACTGGTCGCCAAAATTGCCGTTATTGGAGTGACACCAAACCTTAGGTTTTCCGGGAAACAGATACCCAATGGTAGGAAAGAAGTTGTATGTTGATGATATGGCATTTTTTTTTCTTCCTCATCGATACAAACAATAGAAGAAACACTTCAAGACACTATCGATAAATTGGAAAATAAGGCAAACCGTCTTGGTTCCAAATTCTCTACCAATAAGACTAAGTGTATTCACTTCTGTCCTTTACGCAATATTCACAATGACCCAAAACTGAAATTACAAAACCACTACATTGAATGTGTTGAAACAATCAAATATCTTGGTTTGATTCTAGACAGAAAACTGCATTGGAAACCTCACATTAATGACTTAGCCGCAAGATGCAAAGAAGCTTTAAACCCTGTGCAAAAAGTATCTAAGATTAGGTGGGGAAGTGATAGAGACATCGCAGTGCAACTATATAAAACTCTAGTAATGTCTAAGATGGACTACGGTTGTACCATATACAGTGCAGCTCGTTCTTCTACTCTCAGAGTGTTAGATTCAATCCACTGAACTGGATTGCGACTGGCCTTGGGGGCCTGCCGGACTAGTTGTGAAGCAGGGATACCGCCACTTAAATACAGAAGAAACCAACTTTTACAGCATACGGGATTATAATTTATACCCAACCATCACACCCTAATTTTCCATTTATGTTTATAGGGGAAGACGAATCCATTTACGCAAGACGTCCTACTATTTTCCGCCCATTCGGTGTACGACTGAAAGAGCTGATGTCTTCAATGGATACCCGCTTTCCAGATACATATAAGCTAGGATTTTGCGAGTCTCCCCCGTGGGAAATGAAACCGATTGAAAGCAACTTAGATTGTTCTGTATTCAACAAAGAGGAAATCAACCCAGCGGTGATCAGGGCTGAATTCAAAAGAATAATTGAAACATACCCGAATAGCCATATAGTGTACACGGATGGATCGAAGACTGAGCAAGGAACTGGAAGTGCTTCCGCATGTCTGGGATCAACCCACTTCTGGACCTTAACGAATCAAGCGAGTGTTTTCACAACAGAACAATAAGCAATCTGGCAAGCATTACTATACATGGACTCATGTAATTTTCATTCATACATCATTTGCACAGACTCGCTGAGTTTTATTCAAGCAATTGAAAACTCTTTCAGTAAACATCCGTTGGTACAAAGAATCTTAACACTGATGAGTTGTCTCCAGTCCAAAGAAAAATCGATCATATTCGTTTGGGTTCCTAGTCATATAGGAATTGACGGTAATGAGAAAGCTGACGCTGCAGCAAGAGCTGCAACTGAGAATAATGTCGAACTAAATATACTTGTGAGTCCAAATGACACAAAAATATTCATAAAAAAACTCAATACTCAACACATGGCAACACGAATGGACAAACAACGATTCAAAATTGAAAGATATCAAACCTGATATTGCAGCCATGAGACTTCCACAAGGGCTAACGAGAAGAGAACAAGTCATAATAATACGACTTAGGATAGGACAATCAATTTTACTTCAAAATAAATCCTTCATGCATTCATTTCATTATCCCAAATTTTTATTTTTTGAGTTGACCCCTTCAAAAAATAAAAGAGGCGGGGACATTAAAGAAATGCACTATATAATATTCTCAGAACTTGCACATGTGATAATGCCTCTCCTTCAGTCACTTTTGTAAGATTGATGCAATTGCGGAGAGTTGTGAATATATGACCGTATGATTTGTCACAATCCAGACAAGGAATTTTGTAAAGAACGATCAGATTTATACTAATTTATTGTTGACGTTTTCAATCTATTATGTAATTGAAAACGATGCCAATACTTTCTTCTTGACGATCGTTAGGTATATCATTATCTCTGAAACCATTTACTAATTTGGAAATTTCTTGAAGTTTTATCTATCGCCACATACATTTCTTTTCCCAATTTCTATAATTACTATTTAGTAATAAACATTTATTTAGTATATTACATTCAGTAGTATCAGCTACAATGGTTTATACAGGAAATTGTTTACACAAGAAATAGTCATAGATAAATATTCAACTTCAATAGAAGCTATTTCAGAATTTGCCAAATTGATGACAAAAACAAAACAAATTCGATAATTGTAATTATTGAAACAAATATTTCCTCGATGCTTTTTTTAATATCTCTGTGTTGGAAAATTGTTTACCATCATTTGATATTTCATTATGTTCAATTATTCCTTTGTAAAATATAGATTCTCTGGAAATGCAGATTTGACTTTTTTTATTATCGTCTAAGGTCTATAAATTTCATAGTGATTTTTTTATTCTTTATAACACACTACAGAAAGATGCATACTTTTTATTTATGAATATAATTGATATCGAGTATACGCTTTGGTTTATATAGATTTTTTAGTTGGTTCTAAGAAAAGTAGAGGAAAAATGCATTTTACGGCATTATTATTTATCGAAAAGTCCAGCAACGGTAACATATAATTAGACAATTGAAGACTAATAAGTTGACAGGTTTATTTATCATCGTGTCTTACTCTATATTTCACACAGTAATAATGATAAATCGTCTTTATCATCTTTCTGTACATAAAATAGGCGAAGTTCAGCCTAAGACTCTCCTTACACTTAACCTAAGTTGTACAACTGAATGTATTACAAAAGCATTCTTATTAAATTATAATATATGTACATGGAGTTGTGATCTATAATGTGGTATATGCAAATGATACTTAATTGAATAGAACCGGCCGATACTTGATGAAAATCCATATTAAAACTCATTTATACCATTTATTGTATGATTTTCACTATGAAGGGTTTTACAAAAACCACGTCACGTGTTTCGCTATATTGGTAGGTCAATATTTTTACTTTTATTGCTAATTTTCTATAACTGAGTCCATAAATGTTTAGAATCATGGCTGTAAAAAATATATCGTAAAATGCCATATATCCGAGATCAATCAGCAGGTGATTTTGTTTTCTTATACTTGACTAGTGCAGATTCTCTTTCTTTTATCATTAATAAAAAAAGTATGACAAGTCATACGAGCTACTTTTTCATCAATATCCTGCAAACTAAAAATATCATGAAAAGGTGGATTTATGTATGCCTTTTTGTACTCATTGTACCTTTGGATTAGTTTTTTCTTGGTTTGGCCGATATAGAATTTGTTGCAGTCCGAGCATTGTATACTATATATCCCATTTTGGTCTTTGTCTTCTTCTTTTCATAGTTGTTTATTTTTTGTGTTATCTTCGTGTTCGGCTTGTATGTGATGTTGATGTTCAGTGGTTTGAAGATGTTTGTTAGTTTTTTGGTTTGGTGTCCTACGTACGTAAATGATGTCCATCGTTGTGTTGTTTTGTCTGTTGGAGTGGCTTGATCCTTGTTCTGTATTTTTTGTTTGATTCTGTTTTCTAGTTTATCTATTGTCTTTTGGGTGTATCCGTTTTCGTTCGCTATTTGGTATATGACTTTCCGTTCTTTGTTTCTGGCTTCCTTGCTGAGTGGTATCCTTAACATTCTATATATGAATGCGTTATAGGCAGCCATTTTGTGTGATGGTGGATGGTTTGAACTTGCGGGTATGGTGGATCTTGTTTGTGTAGGTTTCCTGTATATTGTTATTTGAAATTGTGTTTTGTTGTGGTTATGTCCAGGTAGTTGAGTTTCGAGTTGTGTTCTTCCTCAATGCTGAAACATAGTTCTTGATTTATTTCGTTAATTTCTTTTTTTTATTTGTTCTATTCTTATTCCATTGTTTTGTGATATGTACAGTCCATCGTCAACGTATCTGAACCATTCTCCTTTTTCATCATGTGTTTTTATTATTGTTGAGATTTTCAAACGAAGAAAGAAAACCAGATGTCCAAGTCGGAGAAGTAGTAGCGGTCAGAGTCAACGTGAGACGCTACGAACAGCTGAGAATATCGTCGGTATACCTACCTCCTCGAGGTAGAAGACTAGAAAGAACCGACATGGCAGAACTATTCCCAGATCACCATCCTACAGTGGCTATCGGCGACTTCAACGCAAAGTCGCCAGACTGGAACTTCAGAATTGCGAACACAAGAGGTAGTGAGTAAGATTACTAGAAGAATTTGAGGACATCGAGGTAGTAGCACCTAACAGCCCAACGTACTACCCGCAAGCAGACGCAGTCCCAAGCACTCTCGACATCGCACTAGTACAGAACATCGACACTACGGAGATGGAAATACTAGATGAAGGTTCGTCAGACCACAACCCCATCCTATTAACAATAGGAAGGGGTGAAGTTGAAACAGACAACCCAACAAGGCAAGTCATAGACTGGACAAGATTCCAGCGAGCCATACACGATGCGCTGGGTGAGATACCACGCATCGAGACAAAAACAGATCTAGAGAACGCCACGGACCAGCTTCAGCAGGCGATCATACAAACAACGGAAAGAAGCGCGCGGGAAGTCCCAGCCACGCGCTATAACTTCCAAGAGCATCTTCCACCAGAAACGATGGAACTAATCAGAATAAGAAGACGCCTGAAAAGACAGTACCAAAGGACACGTGCACCTATGGACAAAAGGTACATGCATAGAGCAAATAGGATACTGAAAGAAGAGTTGAAAGCGATCCGAGAAAGACAATGGACTACCCGTCTGGAAGAACTGACCACAGAAAATCGATCTGCATGGCAAATGCAGAAAAAACTCAAAAATGGACCTCGACGACCCTACCCACCGATACACGGCGAGCAAGGAATTGTCTACACTGACAAGGAGAAGGCGGAAGCATTCGCGGACAACTTCGAAAGGCAGTGCAGAGAGAATGACGTCCCGTTCACAGACGTGGTAGACGAAATAGAGTGCACAAGCCAGAGAACAACTTTAACAAGTTGGCGCTCTACGCGGACGACACGGCCCTGCTGGCGAGATCTACGAGTCAAGCACACGTTACGAGATACCTTCAACAACAGGTAGACAGATTGGAGGAGTGGGCTAACCTTTGGAAGATCAGTATCAACCCTGACAAGAGTCAGGCGATACTGTTCACTTGCAGGTTCGTACAACCGGAAGGCAACGTCACCTTCAACGGACAAGAGATTCCGTGGACAAACAAAGCGACATATCTGGGGGTCATCCTAGACAAGAAACTAACATTCCAGGCCCACGTACAGCAGAGAATAGGAATGGCCAGACAGGCCAGAAGACGCCTGGCGCCGATCATAGGAAGAAGCAGTAACATGGCATTGAAAGTCAAGTTACTAATGATCAAAACGATTCTAATGCCAATAATACTGTATGCATGCACTGCCTGGGGCCAGTGCGCACAGACATACAGAAAGAAGATCCAATCGTTTATGAATACGAGCGTAAGGGCCACTGTAAACGCACCTTATTATATACCCAATAGATTTATATACAGAGACCTAGACCTGGACACGCAATATGTGGACGTGTGTGTATATGAGAGAACATGTAGAAAGCACGTTCGATAGAATCAGATCGCACTTAAATCCAGCGTTCCGCGATTTACACGATGCGATAAATATAGATGACCCCAGATTCCGAGAAAGGGACAAACATCCCAGGCCGACTAAACAGAATAACAGACCGCCTCCGTTAGTTGCCGTCAGGCGGCTCAGGTAAGTATAACACTAATCAGATACACTCTCTTCCAGGTAGGTTCAGCGATGAACACTTCGACCGCGATCGCGACTCTGAAAATTTTTTTTCTTGGATGCACTCAGAAACGCTCGATGCATAACACAAAGCCGCCGGTTAGTTTTTGGGGGCCCCCATGCTCAAATTCAGTTAGGAATAGTCAGATAAAATAAAGATTCGATAAGAAAGTAAAAGCACCCAAAGGCTGACTTTCGACCAAAAAGAGGTCAGATGTCAATCTTGCTGAAGTGCCCATCAGCAAGTTGAGGACCGCTCGGAAAGCGGGGGTGGATAGAGTGGGGTAGTAGGTTCTCCTCGCTAAATAGCTGGGGGGGGGAAGCTTCTACTTCAGGGCACTTAACCCGGGAGGGGGCATGGGGGGGCCCCAGTGTTCATTTGGCCAAGCATTGGTGCCAGTTAAAGTTGTTATTATCTTGGTATATCATTATTGTGAAACAAAATAAAGTTGTTTTTTAAAAGTTTACATTTGAAAACCCAAATATAACATATATTCGAAAATGAGTACAATAACTGGACCCATACACTCTGCTTGCCAAATTGCCAAATTTTTTTTAGCTTCATCAAGCAAACTTCATTCCTGGATTCAGTCAGATCTTCGGTAACAGTGATATGAGACCCTTTTAGTTTTCTTTTGTATTTCAGAACCATTTTACAATCTTCAATACACAAAAATTTCACATTGACAGAATTAACTTTTCTCATCTCAGCCTTATCAGAATTAATTCTGTAACAATTGCTGGTAGAACTGAGGGGTCCAGTGAAAGTTTTTCAGTGAAAACCCCACTAACCGCTTCAGGAATATTTTCATTCCTAACGTGTATCGTGTCTGTTTTTTGGGAAGCATCATTTATAGAAACGAATTTTTCGGCCTGCATTTTCTTGATTATTATTTGATTCACTGACCTTTTATTGAAACACCATGCCCCAGAAAAAATATTCTGAATTTTGTATTTTCTCAAAAGAAAGTGTAGGTGATGCCATTGATGTAGATATCTAAGAATTAGGCTTTGATGAAGTGGAAAAAAAATAGGAAATTACTCTATAATCGCAATCTCAAAAAGTAATACATTTTTTTGACGACTCAACAGAAATAGCAGCACAATGTGGAGTACGTAGATTCAAAAAACAAAAAAGCTAGCCAGCATGAAATTAATACAAAAATGTTATGGAGGAAATCAAAAAGTTTTTATTAAATATTTGTGTAAATATCCACCTTCCACAATCCATATGTTCATGTTCTCAATTCCTGTATCAGATCTCCAGGGATGCTCCATAATATTAATAGAAGCAAATAATTCAAACTCACCTCAAATGCCAGAATTGATTGGAGAAATGATACTGTCTCAGGTTGTTCCGCCTTTGTTACAGCCGTCATTATTGACTGATCATCACTATCTACTATATCCGTTATGTGATCATATCCATCTAACAGAAGTTCGACAAGTTTATCAGTATCACCTTGAATAACAAAGCATTCAATCAAAAAAAAACTAACATTATTCAAAATTGTACCTTTTGTTGCAATATGTAGAACATATCGATCAATCTCTTCTGTATTGTCTGGCAAACTTGCTTGAATGCTAATGTCTCTGGCGGTTCTGTAGAGTTCATCTCTATAGGCAACGTTTATTTCTGTTTCCATTAATAGTTGAAAAAGTGCGTTCCGGCCATGCGATCGCGAGGCAGCAAAATGGAGCATACTTTGACCGTGTTCATCCTTTTCAAATATCAATACACGTGAAAGATAAACGTAACATAAATATCACAATGAACATACCCTACTTGCACTATTGAAGGCTGAATCGTCTGCATCTTCATTTTCTTCTGGTTCAACAGTTACTACATCGATGCTTGCAGGAATGGCTTTGTTATCATCGGCGTCAGTTGGGGAACCGGCTATAATTTGCTGAGCACTTTCCTGTAACATTTACGATTAGTTAAATAGTAGCTAAGCAAATGAGTACATAAGGGATATTCAGGCATTCATAGTTTTCTTCAAACCTAATATTTTCATGATATGAAGTGTAATAATGTAAGTGGTAAAATGGGTGAAGAACTTATTTAATTGAATTTAGTTGAATCCATTTGCATCGCTAAGAGGTATGTAAAATGAAATGTTCCCTAATCGAGACATAAAGTGACAAATTCGAGAATGCGCTAGTCTCGAAAAAAAAAACAGACTTTCTGGAGTGGAGTGTTATCTGGAATGAGTTTTTTTAGGCTATGTTGGGCAAAGTTCACTTTTAATTCCCAGATTTAAGTAATATCGAAAAGTCTCCTTTCATAAAATTCTTAGGTCTACTTCTAGGCTTGTAGCATAAAAACCATTTAAAATTTATTTTATGATAATAATAATAATAAAACCAAATAAGCAGGGATGGCCACTAATACCTGGGGCCTTTGGTGAGTTGCGCCACCCCTTATCCGAGCCACAGAGATCACTTCACTCCTGCGACATCACAAAGTTAAGCAAATACATGGGATCATCCCCAAAACATCGATGAACTCGACTTATCACAGCGCCTGACCTTAGCTTTTTTCTGGTCGATTGAGCTGAAGTCGGAAATTGAGGGGTTCATCATGGCCTGCCGGGATGGTGTCTTCAACACCTTAATCTAACATAGTCGCGTAATGAGTATAGAGGTTCCATACACAGGGTGTAGGGCCAGCCGCAAGGCACCTGATACCCTATGCACTTGCTCACTTGCTGTCCGCATATCCAGCACATGGGAAAAGTGACAAATTTATTGAAACTATCAGTTCTCTCCCTCAGGCTCATACAAGATAATGAGCCTGATGTAATTCTTCTTGATCATTAGAGCAAGACGATATTTGTCGTGTAGTTATTAGCTCCTGGTGGAAAGAGGTGAAATATCGAGATTTTCTCTTTGAAAACCACATACTCTATCCAGACCACTGAGCCAAGATGATTGTTTTTGGTGGAATAATGCCTTCTTTACTTTCGAATCTCAAGCTCATGCTGGATGCCACACTGAGGCAGAAATCTTAGCTGGACAAATATAGGAGGCTGTCATTTTTGGTTCACTCCATTTGCTTGAGAAACTTTTTTTTTAGACCCAATGATCTCGTACCCCATGGTGTGGGAAGTGGTTATTGGTTGATAACACTAGCGCTTCCTTTCGAATGTATCGGGGCTTCGAGGGATAGGGCTCGACCAGCGCAAATTTAGGGAAAAATAATGATAATAAAATAATGGATCGACCTCATTCTATAGAAAGGGCGGTGTGTTAGCAAATCTGTTCTTCGACAGATGTGCCACAAGGTTTATTACTTTTTGATTTTATAAACCAGAAATCTTCGTGTATTCGTAGTGCTTTGAGGTATGAATTTTGAGAAGATTTTTCATTATTCGATGAAATAATTTTTTTGTGAAGGAAATCATATATTAAAGTGTTTGAAAACTCAAAATATAATATTTTTCTAATAGTCACCTGCGTTCTTCCCCTGGACTTGATATTATTTCTGTTATTTGCGAAATTATAGAGATACTGGGCCAAGTATGCAATTGGGTCTTCAGGCCGTTTGTTTGCAACCTCAGTCAGTCCTTTTATGAGAGGATCTCCTAGAGCTATAAGAAATAAAATAGAAAATCAGATATAAATTTTTGAATTGATCCAGAGTAGTTATCCAATTAGAGGTTTAGAGTTTTGAAGTGAAGTAAAACATAAAAATGTACCACAAAAAAATGTTCCCCAACAAAATTTTCAGAAAAACCTTCTTTAAATTTCATCTGTCAACCTGAAATATATGAAACTACACATTCACAAAAAAACACATTCATAAGAAAACACAAAAGTTCATTCAGTTCTTTGAGTTCTTTGAGAAAAAAAAAACGGTTCTGCGAAAAACTGCAGCTGACTACTTATTCAAAAGGAAACAGTCGTTGATCAATAAGTTAAGAATATTTAAATGAAATTGAAGCTTTTGTTCATGATGAAGAGAATAAATGTAACGAAGGTTGACAATGTGAATATTATGACTAATAGGAAAATTGGGAACCGATGAGATAAAAATTTGATTAGAGATGACGCTTCAGCAGTTCACTCAAGCTAGAGTTGTAAAACCTATTTATTCAATCAACATTTTAACTTTCAATTTTATGATTCTTATTATAAAATGATTGTATAAGACAAAAAAGTATCTCCGAAACTCTGCATCGAATCATTTGTCCATGAACAAACCAAAATTATTACAATTCACGGGATAATATTTCCAAGAATTATTCAAAAACTCTGATCGGGTTATCTTTCATTATCAAGTGAATAATAGAATTAGTTGTAAACTCACATGCGGCCAAGTACCGTCCTTCTTCTGTGGCGAAAAAAGGCATATCAACTTGTCCATTTTTATTATCAGAGTTGCCTGAAACCAAAAATATTTCTTTCATCTAATGTGAATCACAGAGGAATCTATAAATGTGTATCAGAATACTGCCGTGACACAAGTTTTCATCAAAGCGCTTCACAAAAATCACAATAAAGTTCAAGACAGTTGCGTTGTTGGAGGTGCATCGAAAAACACTGTACAAACAAGACTATCTGTTGCTGAAAAAGTACATAAAGAATGTGAACAACAGTTTTGTATTTTACTGATACTGACCTATAAGACTCCATCCTTTAAAGTGTTGATTGTGTACAAAAAGGTAAAAATAAAGTGAACATTTTTGGCACCATATACAAGTTTGCTTACGATTATCCATGCCTATATTTACAGAGATTACTAACAGTGATATTTCAGGCACTCTGGGCCAGTTTCTTTTTTTTGAAGATATTCAAAAAAATTGCGGCAATATGTAAAGAATTCGACATGGCTAAATCTTTCTCGAGCTGTATGATGTTAGCAACAGCAGTAGTGATATCTTCAAAACATTGCTGTTCAGTTATTCCTAAACATTGCTGATTGCCAAGTTTCACCACGTCAGTTGTGTTAGTACTTCTAGAATGAGTTAAACCTCTCACAGCACATAGATGTTTTAAATTATCAGGTTCTTTAATCAGATATGGTAATCTCATAGTTAGCTTGAATTGTAGGGTGTTTCCTACAGCCGACGGTCTGGACGAGAGATATCCTAATTTTTCATCGAAAATGAATTTCATATTTTGGTCCAAAACCACCATCAGCCTAGATATTCTTGAGAAAATTTGTCCGATTGCTCCTGGGTGATTTTTATCGCTACAAGTCACTATTCTCAAATGGTCTAAGACATTGACCCATACGGCAAGGTTTGCTCCATTACTAATGAACACTCCTCTACCATAGGGCCAATGAGAGCCGTGTAATCTTTCAGAATCGGGTATATTCCATAAAGGAATCAGCAATCCATTATTAGATAGTAACAGTTTTGCTTCTGATGGATCTTCGAGTACTTCGTTCATGGTGTAATATGTACCACTACCCTTCTCCTCTATTTCGAGTTCAGACGTGAGAGGATAGAGAGCCTTCGCCACTTCTTTACCAAGTAATACAGAGGTGATGATACGCTCCACCAACTCAAGTTGGCCGTGGTTAAGTGATTTTGGTAGTTCGAAATCTGCAAGATTTCTAGTGGTATTCAGGGTTCCAGAGAGTACATATTTCCTTTGAGGGTCCAAGTCAATTTCTGATACCAAATATCTGTCACCTTCCATGAATTTTGTTACAGGATGTAGAAGTTCTTGATTGATATCAATATAGTTGTAGTCTTTTATTATAGGGTCCAAAAATTCTCGAAAAACTGTATATGCGTAAATATCTGGTGCTACTATTCCCAGTGGATAATCCTGTTCCAGGGCATCTCGGAAACCAACCTCTTTAGGTAATTTTTTTACACTCGGCCATATAATGTCATACAAATTATGGTCTAGCTTGGTTACTCTGAACTTGACTGTATCAAAAATATGTCGTCTAATATGTTTACCCAAAAATGAATTGCAGTAGGTTGAAGAACTGAGAGTGACTGCGGATGAAGATGAAACTGTTGAACTTCTACGACCATGCAGAACATTGTAACAACGTTCAAGGACAGATATCATATCTTCGTCATCTAGATCTTTTCGGGCGGAAGCGATGTCGTTCGGTACTAGATTTCAAATATAAATTGCTAAATAAAGCTCATGAAAGTAAATTATAGAATATTTTCAAAATCAAAAACAATGGATTTTCAAGGATTACCAGTCGGATATAATAAAAAAAAAATTATTTTCAAAAATATGTTCCGATGTGCAAGTACTTTATAAAATTCTTACTTGACAAAAATGATTCTGTAATGAATGTATTTAAAAATCACACTCCCAAGCCCACACTCTCAATTACTGACGAAGTATTATGAAGAATTAAATTTAATTTCTCTTGAAAAGTATATTTACATGTTTGGGAAATTCATGGTGTGGTAGGAAAAATGAAAAAACATAAAGAAAATTATGAACAAATTTCTGCAAGGCATTTCAAATGTTCAACTAATAATAATTTTCAAAATTATAGGTGAAACAATCACTACCTAGTTTAGACATTGATGATATATGACATTGTGAAAGTGAATGTTTACTTTGTTAGATATGAATATATTAGTGTTTGGAAATTAATCAATATTATCTCGTGATAATAGTGATTTAACGAGTAAAATGGTCTTCGAGAATATGGTCACAGTTCTTTCGTGTGGAAAAAGTGTTTACTTTGAATTCATTCTACCACAGATTGTTTCTTTCAGTCTATAATCAAAATTTTGAATTTGGGGCAGAACACTCCAAAAAAACATTGTGTTTAATATCAACTTTTGAAGAGAAATGAATTTTGTCTGACCGAACAAAGAAATGAACTAACGCAGATGAAAAATTCGGTTCAATGAATAATTTGAATTTTATACCATTTTATTTTACTTTATTATATTATTTTACCATTCATTATACCATTTTCCTTATACTTCATATAATATCTTGTAGTCAACTGATTTTGAATTGTTAACTTGTTGAATAGAGATATTGGATGAGTTTCCATTAAATTTCAATGAAGTCATGAACTTAATTGGTACAAGTTTTAATTAAGCAATAAGTTATAGTTGAACAAAACGAAATTATTCAGTTTGTATATAGAAGATGAAAATTTGCCCAATTTAATATCTTTCACAAAATTTTATCCTGGCTTTCCAAAATCCGTTAATGTGTCTTCTTATATGATAATCTTTATCAACTTAAACCAATAATTAAGCCACTAACATGAACAAAAAAATTAAGATATGAAAAATATTTACTTACCTTTATCTTCAAAAAATTCCTTTGTATCTTCTACTCCAAATTCCTTCAATAGACTTCTGTGAGAGAATTCTTCTTGATTTTTTCTGTAGTAATCTGGTTTATGACCAAACTATAACAAATTAAAGTTCGTATACAATTTTTGGATTTATAGAAGTGCACTCTCTATCTCAATTTTTTCATTTTCAGAGAACATTTTGTTTGTGCTATTCCCTAAAGAGAAAATTAAGAACTGAAATAACACCTATGTACTATTATTAAAAAAGTGTGAATGATACTCCATTTAATTTTTGGAACACGTCATGATGATTATTGAATTTATATTTTCATTTCAGATATAATTATTTAAGTAGGCAGAGATCAACTCAGTTTAATGACTGTCGAGAAGAGATAGTTAGCCAAGGACATAAATAGTTCTAATATGAATTCAAACCAACGTTTATATACACCTCTCCCAACGTTTATATACAATAATATGACAAATGTCTGCTAGAAAAATCATTTTCTTAGATAACACTACGACAAATACTGGTTTATATCTGACGAAGGAAAATCTGGCAGGTGTTTCAAGTTAGTCCAGCGGCAGGACCTCGATGAAATCAATTGGGAGATCATCTGCAGTCGATCAGTCTGGTAATCAACTGATTTCATGGACACTCCACCGCTTGTAATGACTCTTCATCTGAGACTGGTATTGTTTCAAACTAAATTGACGTAATAAGAGTTCCATCTCGTGAACAGAGCCCCAAAGAGGTTCTTCGAAGTATTCATTTGGTTAAAGTATGTATCTCTCCTCGACATAGACATCGGTCAAATTTTATTTCTGTTTAGAATTTTATTACCGGGGTACGCAAGTTTCGTATAGACGTTGAGGCGTCGAGTACCAGATGGAACGACCATCTTGATTAGATCTGGGTCGTTGAAATGTACCCAAGATTCATTTACAGAAACAATACGACTTAAGTTTGCATATTTTACGAACATATCCTCATGGCCAAATCAATGTGTATGATGTATACGTTCATATGAAATATTCAGAAATTAGCCTTCTTGATCAATCTTCATCTTTAATGAAACATCATTTCTTTTGTTGCTTGCAATTCAATTTTCCACGATTGCATACGCAAGATTCATTTACAGTAACAACACGACTTAATTTTGAATATTTTGCAAACATATTCTCTTGTCAAAATCGATGTGTATGATGGATACGTTCATATGGAATATTCAGAAATTTGTCTTCTTGATCAGTCTTCATCTTCAATGAAAAATCATTTCTTTTGAAGCTTGCAATTCAGGTTTCCACGATTGCATACCAAGGATATTATCGTCAAGTGTATTGAGCATATCTTCATAAACATGAATGTAAGATGCGAATAGTGGAAATGTTTACTCAAAAATTACCTACTATGTACGGAACAATTATGTGATATTGTAATGAGTATGTTTGCTTCAAATTTTTTATTGATGACCCAACCTTCGATAAATGAGAATTTTTCAAAATTTGAATCTATAATTTAGCCAATGATGATGTCTGTAGTAGATCAAAAGAGTGATGTCTGATATTGTATTATGGATACAATGCTTTTTAGCACTATACGAGTTACTAAGAAACAGAGAAAAACAGTGTATTTCAATTGTCAGTGGTGAAGAAAGCTCACGTTTCTCTACCATTTTCTCTTACGATTCTTTGAAATTTAAAATCAGTAAATATTATATTTAGACTATCACATATATTAATATTCATTTGAATAATATTTCACAGAATTTTGGATTTATATGTTTTCACTTCTTGGATATATGTATATGTTTTCACTTCTGGTTTAGATATGTAGATGACATATTAGTAGGCTTCGATGGTTCAACTAGACAAATATCTCATTACTTAAAATTCCTTAATAGTCTACACGATAAGATCAAATTCACCGTAGATATAGAAGAGAACAATGAGATAAATTTTTCAGATCTGATAATATCCGAAAACAATGATAAACTCGACTTTAACATTTTCCGAAAAAACACATTCACAGATTGCACAATACCTTTTGACTCTTTTAACCCAATTTCACAGAAATTGTCTGCATTCAGGTCAATGATATATAGGGCTTTCACAATACCCCTTTCTGATCAAAACCTCCGAAGTGAAATCGCAATCATTAAACAAATAGCAGTTAATAACAAAATACCTACCACTCTAGTTAATAACATAATAATGAAATATCAACAAAAATCAATAATGAAAGAACTATACTCAATTTCCACAAGACCAGAACACAAATATGTTAGTATCAATTATGCTGGTAGAATCTCCGAGAATATTAAAAATTATCTCTCAAAATTCAATTCACAAACATCCTACACATCCAACGGAAATTTAGGAAACATATTATTTAATGCCAAACCTAAATTAGAGAATGGGAAGAGATCTGGTATATATCGAATAGAATGTGGTGAATGCCCCGCCATATATACAGGCCAAACTGGGAGAAATTTTGATACAAGGTACCACGAACATGTCATTTCGGATAAAAAATCATTAATGTACGATCATCTTCAAAATACGAAACATAAAATAGATAAAGATAATTTAAAGATCCTACACACATTCGAAAAAGGGAAAATGATGAATCTGTTGGAATCTATGGAAATAAACAGGTCAAAGAAAAATCCCAATTCTATTGTCCTCAACCAACAACTTGATTTTAATAATAGTCCTCTCCTGAACCTATAATCCAGATCCCGAAACCTACATTATATTGAAACCTTTGTTATGTTCATGGATTTTACAGGTATATGAAACGCAGGTACCGGGTATCAGGTATATCAGGTATATCAAATCATTTATGATAGAATAAGCAACATAGGTATAAATTACTCAGATTTAAATGTAATCAGTCGGTTTTGAAAATGGTGTAATAGCCGAAACCGGTCAACAATAAAGAAATATAGTGGAAAATAGACAAAAGTGTGTATTTGTAGTGTATCTTCAGTGATATATGTTTTCGTATGTGTTTTCGGAAAAAATAGTGAATGTTTTCACCTTCGGGTGATTTCAACTTTCTGTCTCGAAAATTAAAGATACAGAGATTAGCACCCAGTCTGTCTAAGATATTTTCACTTTCTAAATTCGACTCACTTTGTCTTCCAAACGCACGTCAGCTCCCAAGTGAACTAGAAGGTTGTAATAATGGCCGTTATCTCCAAGAACAGCTGCATAATGAAGTGGGGTTCTGTCATTTTCATCCAGTACTTGAACAGTTTCCGGGAATCTACCAGCGAGATATCTCACAATGCTGGTATTTCCGAAAATGACAGAAACATGCAGGGGAGATGCTCCTGAAAAGTAAAGTTATTATATGTTGCAAAATAATCTGGATGAAATAAGTGCGGCTCTACCCATCTACGAAAAGGTTGTTATAGTCTGTCCAGAAATGAGAGAAACTACAGCAGGAGATTGAAAAAACATTGTTTTTTGAAGGCAGTATAAATAGATATTCCTTTGAATTATACCGTCAATAGGCATACTGTACCCATCAATAAGATCGACTTGGATTTTCCATATAGAGAAAATTTTTACATTATTTTCTGTTGGGAGTTTACTTCGGGAGCGCGTTGTTACATAACATGGAAGCTAGTTATTCAGAAACCGTGAAGCGTCCAAAATGGTCAGCATTAAATATAAATAAGAAAACAATTGTTATAACTGTTGATAATTCTTTAAGAATACAATATTTGCCCGAAATAAATAGTGAAGAGGAAGTAGTGCAAAAAATGCGCGACTATGACCGGTGTCAATAGATCGACAATTTTTAGAATTCTTAAGGAACTCAAGGAAACCAATAGCACCTAAGAGTGCTATATTACCATCTACGGCACTCTTACGGTTTTGACCGGTATTGCCCCACGCTCCGGGGGATATTGAACCCGTTGTGGAGAACGAGAATTGCCGAATTCATTGGAACTATTCGTTCCCCACCCTCAGGCTCATACAAGCTAATAAGCCTGATGTAGTCCTTCTCGACCACCAGAGCAAAACAATATTTGTCGTGGAGTTTTGAGCTTCTGGCGAGACAAATATCGTCAGAAAAAAAGAGGAAAGACGGATAGAATATCGAGATTTTTCTCTTCGAACTCCGCAGACTCTATCCAGATCACTCTGTCAAGATGGTTGTTCTGTCATTCTTGGCTCACTGCGCTTGCTCAGGGCACATGATTCTCGGACCCAATGATCACTTACCCCACGGTGTGGGGAGTGGTCATTGGTAGATAATGCTGGCCCGCCCTCCTGAATGTATCGGGGCTTCGGGTAATAGGGCCTGACCGGCACACACTACGGTGGAAAAAAATAAATAATAATAATAAGTCTTTATTTTCCACACATACAATACAATTAGTAACAGGGTAGATACACATTTGGGAGATCGCCGGAGATTATATGGTATCATATACTATAGTGCATGATATCTCTGTTATTAACCTCAAGCGGTAGCTGGCCAGTCCACCGGACATTCCATATATACAAGTTACTTAGAATACAAGTTACATATACAAGTTACTCAGAAAAAAATAAAAAATAGTAAGAAGAAAAAAAAACTTACAACATTAACATAAGTCACTAGCGTTAGTTTTATTGATCCACTTAATGTGTTATCTCGAATTACATATGAGGTTGTGCAAACAATAAGAGATTCTTGATTTTTTTTAATTATTCGATATTCAGACTCTTCATATTAGCTGGAATGGAATTATAGATAAGTGAAACTTGATACAAAAAGACCGTCTAAATATGTCAGTTCGATGAGAGGGTGGAGTAACAGTTCCTTTGTACCTAATGTTGATGGACATCTCGGAATGAGATTTTACGCAGTAGATAAGGGGGAGTTTTATTCGCAATTACTTTATGGTATATATGGTATATATATAGTGAAGCTTGCGCCTATTCTGCATGTTCAGCCACTTAAGCTCATTCAGTTTATGATATTTGTGATGTTCTTAGACATGAGTTCTGGATAATTTGTATTCGTTGTTTGTCTTGCCTTCGCGGTCTAAACATGGCCCATAAACCGATGAGCAGTAGTTGAACCTTGAAAGCATCAATGAATCACAAAGTATCGCTTTCACATTCCTGCTCAATTAATGTCGATTACCATATATAAGTTTCAAATTCATGAATGCTAAACAACGATTATTTTTCACATGTGTTTTAAATCGTAAATCATCGTCGAAGATCAGTCCTAAGTTTCTTGCTGTTTCAACAGGTGTTATATCAGTATTTGCTACGTTTAATAGTTATGATGATTATTGCTATCACTAGTAAAACTAGATTTAACTTGCCTTATAACACTTTGTAAACATTATTTTCTTTGTTACATACAGATTGACGAAATTAAACGAGAGCCCAAAAACTAAACATTCGTGAGCCAACATCAGAATGCGTTGTTTTGACCCGTCATGCTACCGTCAGTGACATTAGGCTAAATTGTCCTCAAATGACAAAGCTGGGACAGTAAAGGTAATGATAGCTCCTTTTACGAATATATCTATAGCATCGACGGAAGACTCGGTCAATGAATATCAAAGATGAACGAGGTCTTCATGTTGGTCCTTTGCAAAGCCAAGCTTCGGCTCGGCCACCAAACGAGATTTAGCAACTGTTTTCACTGAAAGGCACCTAGAGTCCGATAAAAAAATCGTGATTCATCAACAGATAGCGATGTTTCAACCCACCACGACTGCGTTGTTTGAACTCAAGGAACAAGCCTGAGAAAGTAAAAGTGATGACATCATTCCTGATGAAAACACCATCCACAAATATCAAAGCTGAACAAACCCTCCCCCCACATTGATTTACGAAAAAGGTCGTCATTCTATTGTGAAATGGATTTTTGGGTCGAGTGAGTTCAGATATGAAAGTAATTTCTTTAGTTGTTATTCACCGTGTTGCCATACTAAGAATGTGTTATTAAAGTCCCATAGCCAACAATATGGTTGTAGGGTATTTTGCTCTGAAGCAAATCGTTCGAATTTTTCAACTGAAGTTTACGTCCTCAGGACTCAACAAGCTACCCTTTGCAATGACATTCATTTATTTTCTATGAAGAAAAGGATAGCACCTCAATGTGTCTTAGAGCGAGCGGCCGTTGGCGACGTTACATTGATAACATGTTCGTGGTATGGCAGCATCTGGACTTCCTCTATCCAAAATTCCAATTAACAATGGAACGGAAAACTCTTGAATGTATTAGTGATCAGACGTAAAGATTGAACATTTTGAACATTGGGTCATAGATTGTATAGGTTACCAACACACATAGACAGGTTTCTGAATTAGAACTCCAACCACCAGCCCCGAAGTCGATTCCGAGCGAACAATACGACTCAGAAAAGAGAATGCCAGGGATACTCCAAAAAGGCCTGTCAGATGGCAAAGCTTTCCTGATATATGTGAAGAAAGATATCAAACGGTTCGGAAGAGCGTTAGAGAAACACAATGTAAAATCGATGCTCAGTACAACGAAAACTATCAAGAAGAGTGTGAGATATGTAGCTGTAGATTGGTCTACATTGAAACCACGAAGAGAAGTTTAAGTACTGAACTATCTGAACATAAGAGAAATTGTCGCTTGGGCATACCGACAAATCAGCAGTAGCAAAACAGAAATCTGACCATTCATTTCAACTGATAGGAACGAAGTAACGATCACCACCAACGGAATAATACCCGAGATTCAAACCAATTCTGTAGTACTCATCTGCTTTGACGACAACCAAAACACTTCGCATATTGCCTCATCGCTTTTAATATCGTTTGCCGCCGTCGAAGACGAAACGTCAGGAATAAAAACCCACAGTCAAATTCGAAAAGTAGTTTTGATAGGCATAAAACCTGCAGCCACGCCAACAAAGCCGGATAATATATTTGACACAGAAATAATCCAACTTGAGCTAGAAACATTATCTCAAGAAAAATGTCTTGTCGAAGTTGGGTTCAAATCTACTATCGTTGAGTCGTAAATAGGGTGTACTATAACACTTGCGCAAATTCACCGCCTTTGAACTATTATTATGCAGAGAACATATTTGTTTCTTTGAAATCAATAAACTAAAAACCTACTCAACGGACTTCAAAAATTATTTCACTTATAGAACATGAAACTGTATTGTATTCAAATATATGGACATCCTTATGGAGTTGCTCAAGGAATGACAAAGTCTCTATAAAATTCAATTATTTGGCGAAAGCGCCGGAAGAGTTGTTAGTCTTATTTTTGTTTTTAATTGCAGAAACTATATTTTCTTGCTAAATTTTCTACTTTCATTCAGCTGATATTCGTCGAATATTTATTATTGACTGCTAAAGTCTTACCGTTGGGAGAAATAACATCTTTAGCAATGGCAAACTTGCGTCTATCCAAAGCCGCCTGTAAGTCTCTTAAACTTCCATTTCTAGCAGCCTCATGAATCCTTCGAATTTTTGACTACAACAGATATCAAATGTAAGATAATGAGTATTAAACACCAAATTATAATTTACCATATACAACGGAACATTTTCCAAGAAAGATTGTAACTCCGGATTTTCACTAGTTTTACCAACGAGTCTCTCCCCTTCACCATTGAGTACCAATGATGCCAGTAGTTCCATATTTCCGGATTCAACCAGAGATTTAATGTCATCATCGGTATCAGCAGCTATTGTTCCGTTGAGCCCTTCATTGTTCATGGCTTCATCTTCCTCATGGACGATTCCTTCTATAACTTTCTCATCATCCACAATTGGTCCAGAACCATTAGCTTCTAATTCCTCACTGCCAGGGCGAGTACTTGGGTTTGTAAGACTTGTCGGACGACTTTTGCCCGCACTTTCGCTTATTGATCTAGATTGGCTAATATGCTGGCTATTTGGGCGACTTTTCTCCAAATTCTTACTCGTAGGGCGAGACTTTACGTCTTCCTGGGTATTTGGGCGTGTGACGGAATTTATTTGGCTGTTAGGCCTGGACTTTTTTGGAGAACGAGGTATTTCATCAGCATCATTTTCTGCTTCGATTCGATTGTCAATTTTTTCGTCTTCTCTGTTATCTTCTTCTCCATCATTATTGTTATCGTTCATTTCTTCGGGAGTTGTAGTATTTTCTTCTCGAGCATCTTGGGAAATCTTATTGGCAATATTATCAGTCAAATTTTCATCCTCATTTTCGTCTTCTGTTCTTCCACTCAAATCATTAGTTTCTCTTTGACTTTCTAACACATTCTCTTCTTCTTTTTCATGTGAATTTTCATTTTCATTAGAAGACACGATAAGTTTGTCTTCCTCCTTCTCTTCTCCGTGTTCTACAAAGTAACCTGAGATTATTGAGTGATAATAATAAAATATTCAATATTCGAATGCATCTTACCGTTTTCATTGGTCTCATTATGAATACCCCCCTCATGATTTTCTTCCTCAGTTCCTTTCATTTCTATGTTTTCAGAACTCTCCTTATTTTCATTATCATCTGTTCCATTTAAGAGATTTTTTCCCATTTTCTTCAATCCATTCCTCAATCCGTTCATCGAAGCTGCTGAAGACGTGAGCATTGTCCAATCGAAATTAGTTGCAAAGGACTCTTTTGCGGATCTGGGACACTCTGGGACAACGTTCAATAATTTTGAATCCATTTCAGAGTTTCTTGTTTTGTAATAGGCAGCAGTTTTTTGTTTCTGTGGAAGGAATAAATCAATGTTAATTGATAATGATGATCGAACTGAGAGAATCACTTAAGATCTCCAAAATTATACCAGCAAACACTGTTTCTTTAGATTTTCAAACAAAATGTTATTTTATTTATTAAATGTAGAAACAAATCTGTAATATTCAAAACAAGCACTTTTCTCAGTCACCAGAAATATAATAATCTTCTCGAAGTGCCTTTCATCAACCAAGTTGGCGTCATCTTCTCCTGAAGATGCCAACTTGATTGACGATACATTGAATGATTTCAGAAATATTTTGTACTTGAATCATTTTTATCGTTTTCTTATCGACTTCTAAATCATTTTTATAGTTTTCTTTTCAATTTTAAATGTTCCACCAATCCAACTGTTTCGAAGATTCATTCTTGTTGAAATGAAAGGCAAAGACAATCAATGAAGGAAAATTGTTGAGATTAATTTCAGTTGAAGTACTTACATTATCCAGAGCTGATTCATCAGCACCATGCTGAATGAGAAATTTCGTCATTGTACCATCGTCCTTCACTAAGGCAGCATAGTGAAGGGGAGTTCTGCCATCGTTATCACAGGAATTGATACATTCGGGGTATTCTTGCAATATGAACTCTGCTATTTTCTTTTTGTCTAGACCCACAGCCTAAATGTAAATAATGTTATCAGTTAGTATGACACATGTTAAGTTATTTGTTATCAGTTATCTGAGTTTGTTATCAGTTTGTTGAGATGGAACATTTTGAAATGATCATTTCAAAACATAAATTTTTACTTGCCATAACAATGGTGATGATGGTTACCATAATAAATGAGAAAAAAAATTTTATTGAAAAAAAAATTTAAAATTTACATCAAATTTTTTACAGTTTCATGATTTCATACGTCATTCTTTTCATCGAATCTTACCTTATGCAAGGGTGTTAACCCATTGGAATCTTTTCCAGAAAGAACAATTGGTGGAACTGGAGGCGACAGATGATTTTTTAGACTTTCCAAATCATCATTCTGAACGTCAGTATGAATATCTTTTATAAGTCCCTGTTAACAAAGTTTAAATGAATAATACTATTCGGAGAATGAATAGAATGCATTGTAAAGTAACGAAAGTTCCCTGAAAATGATTCGAAGAGCTTTTTCGAATTTGATGAAAATGAATGAAAGTATTTTGCATTATAAAAAATCAATTAATCTACTCAGGATGGTTTAAGATAAGTTATTGATATCAATATGCGTCTGTACATGGAATTCATTCGTGAAAAGTTATTATTGGAATCTTTATTGATAGAACCCAAACAATGATTTTCGGAATTTTAAACTGTTAACTGTTATGTTCATCTATGCATTTGTGCGAGATAATCCTTGAAACGGATTAACTGATTTGGGTAAGGTTCAAAAATATAAAAAGTTATGTCAATTTAAATATTTACATCAAACAATCGTTCGAAAGAAATATAAAACTACTTTTTATTTGATTTGTCTGGTACTTTGAATTACTATATTTATAGTTTGTGAAACGATTTTCTTATGAATTGAAAATAAGACAAATATATGAGAACTTTTTGCTGTTAGAAATTCTGGAAAAACCTTTAAACTGAAGTCCACATGATTGAAATCGCGGGCAAGAGCTTGTTCGTAGAATATATCTAATTCGAGAATAATAACTCAACAGCTAGCACGGGTTGGAAGAGATATACCTATGATGATTCGTAGGTTCTACACAATATAAAATCGTATTTATTGTAATTCCAGAAACTATGATATGCACTGATCTTTTAGAAATCTCATTAGAATAACAAAACAAAAAAAAACGTTTTACCAATAATGGGATTTGACTCTGATGACTGTTCAAGCATGAAAAATATATTTTTTTTCACGGTAAAAAAAGAAATATTCATGATACTCATCAATAAAATGCTGATGTTTTGAAAAAAAATCTATAACCGAATATGTGGATGTTATTTCGTCTACTGTTTTGAAAAATAAAAGGTAATGGAATTGAAGACATTCTCAAAAATCATCGTTGGCGAGAGCCAATCTAAATAATTAATCATTTCATGTGATGTAACTTGTTGATAATGTTTACAAAACCGTGACACGTGTTTTACTGTGAAATAAAAGTTTTTAGCGTATTCAGCAGTGAACACGTATAGAAAAACACGTGTTGCGGTTTTGTAAGCTGTTAACTTAAAAATGCAATGGTGCAATGATTTGCAGGAAAAATACAAAAATACGTAAACCGTAGTATACAGGGGAACATATTTTGACATATTCACATTTGATGTTACTTCCCCTATCGCACTCCCAGAGCAAGTCACCAATTTTTTTCAAATGGATCACCCTATATTGTTCGCATTATCAGATGCTCCTTGATGAGCAGATTTCAACAAAGCATAAAACATATGGTCTGAAACTCATGGTTCGGGAGCTACAAATTATTTGAGTTGAAAACGAGCCACCCTGAATGACTTTTGCACCAATAATTTTCAGAAAAAATAAAAAAAAATATGACTGGAGTTTTTTCCAACACCAAATCGTTATTTTTAACACCTCGACACGTGTTTCGATCACCAAGTGATCATCTTCAAGAGGAACACGTGTCGAAGGTGTTAAAAATAACGATTTGGTGTTGGCAAAAAACTCCAGTAATATTGATTACTACACCAAAGGTTTCAAACAGTGCATCACAAGTACCTCAACAATAGTATACAGGGGGACACATTTTGACATATTCACATTTGATCTAATTTTCCCTATCGCACCCCCAGAGTATGTCACCATTTTCTTTAAATGGATCAATTTTTTTGCATTATCAGATGTTCCATGATGAACAGATTTCAACAAAGTAGAAGACATTATAGTCTGAAGCTCATAGTACTTCATAGGTACTTCAAAAAAGTCTTATTTTGCCTAGTTGAGTTTGAATTCGATATTCTCTTCATTTTATATTTGTCTCATTCTACAACGATTACCTACCAGGTGAAGTTACAATTGGTGTTTTTGTTTTTGTGAATTCTTGAGAAGCAATGGTTTATACGCTTCGAGAACGGATTGAAATAGTGAGTTTGTACTACCAGAATGGAAATAGTGCTAGAGCTGCTGCCCGTATGTTCAATAATAATCATCCAAGAAGAAATGTGTGACACAAATACGTTTCGGAATTATTGAACAACTTTATGGAAATTGGATCTGTTGACAATAAAAAGGACAACCATTCAGGAGTTGTCAACGATGAAGCTATTTGTACTGCAGTTTTAGGGCACGTTGGACTAATGGAAAATCCGCAATCTCTCCCTAAGTTATCTCGAGAACCAGGAATTAGTCGTACAAATGTTTTCAGGATCATCCATAAGTACAAATTTCACCCATATAAGATTAGACTAGTTCGTGAATTGAACGAAGATGATTTTGATAGACGTATCGAGTTTCATGAAAGTCTCACTGAACGGATCAACTTCCATCAGAATTTCTTGTATAAAATTTGTTTTTTGGATGAATGTACATTTATTTGAATGAAAAGGTGAATCGGCAAAACTTTTGATATTGGAGTGCTACGAATCGTCATTTATACCGCCGTCAAGTTCATACCCAACGTCCCCAAAAACTGGATGTTTGGGGAGGAATTTTAGGTGACCACATCATAGGACCTTTTTTGTATCGATGATAATTCTACTAGTGATAAATATTTGGATATTTTGGAGAATCGAATAATACCGTGCATCAATAGGGCAATTGAGGAGGATATAAACTTATTCGAAAACGAAATAGTTTTTTAGCAGGATGGTGCATTATGCAGCTTCAGTGCGACAACTTTTGGATGATCATTTTTCTGGTCGCTGGAGAGGCAGAAGAGGTCCGTATCTCACTCCTGTAGATTTATTTCTATGGGGTCATTTGAAGTCTAAAGTGTTTGAGGTAAAATCAACAACATCAGAAAATTTCAGAGAGAATATCATAGAGAATATCAATTTTAGCTTTTGTTGTGTTTTGTGTGAATACTGTTCTTATATCGTGTCTCTTCATAATTCGGCTCACTTCGTCGGTAACTCCATGAATATTAGGAAGAAAAGCTTTTGGGTGGCCCATCTGTTCACCGCACAGTTTGGGATGTGGAGGTACGGATTTGTTGAAGTTGGATGGATTTTTCGATTTGGGATTCGGGATAGTAGTTTTGGCGAAGGACGGATTTGAGTTCGTCTAGTTCCCTGAATCTTTTGTGGCTGTCACTGAATCTTATAGCCCTTTGTTTGAGAGAAATCAAAATGGAATTTAATTGAAACTGAATTTAACTGAAACAACACAAGAATAACGTTAGGCAAAAAAAGATTAGTTACTTTCCACTTTTCCAACAACGAATTGGGAAGGTAAAGAAAGTGTTCTGCTGATAATATTATCACTCTCCATCATGAATCAGTTGTGGTTGAACTCCCTTCTGCTGTAGCAGATCTATTTGCCCATCATTTTCCAAATTCTGCTATAACGACTATTTTCACACACTTAGGTCAAAATCTAACGTTACCTTGTACAACCAGTACGAATGTTATATTGAACACACACTCATTTGAGAATGGACCGATTACTGAAGCTGAAATTCATGCCGCATTGAGATTAATGAAAAAAAAAAAATTCGAGTGGATCAGATGACATATCAATAGCAATTGTTAAAGAAATATTTGACCTTATTGTATCTCCTTTCATTTATCTAATGAATCAATCCTACATACAAGGCTACTTTCCAGAAGAGTTCAAGAAAGCCTTAGTCATTCCTCTTTTCAAAAAAGGAAATAGAAATCACCTGAATAACTACTGACAAATTTCATTACTTTGTTCTGTTTCAAAATTGTTTCGATGAACCTCCGCATCCAAACAAGCCAGTTCTTGTGGCTTCAGGGGCCTAATTCTGTGGAGCACCCTGCGTGTTCTGATTGTCGTCTCCATTGGTGGTATGGTGCGAGTCTCCTCTCCAGCCGTGCCAACGGGTGGTAGAACTGTCACTTCTACCACTTCGTTAGCAGGCTGGGAAGGAGCTAAATAGCCCTGGCGCCGAAGATAAAACATTGGCGTGAAAAATAAAAATCTGTGGTTGGGATACAAAATTATTAGCACCCGTACTAATATCTGTGGCTGGAAATACCTATTCACTATAGGTTGAACGTGAAATTATTGAGACTATTTGGTGTTTAACATTTTTATAGAGTCTTGAGTAGATTGAGGCGTTGATAATCCTTTTCTCATCAACAATACAGATTAAGGGAAAAATAAAATTGAAAATATTAGACTTACTTTCCAATACCCCATATAGAAATGATATCCGACGATGTGCGTCCATCAAAATCACACAACTTCCATAGTTTCTTGAGAAAATTAACTTGGTGATAACAGTTTTCTTGTTTGAAGGTGATTGAAGGTGAAACAGTTTTCTTGTTATCTAAACAGATTTCGAAAAAGAAATTGTTGAAATTTCTTGTATTCATGAAAATCACACAACTCTTATAGAATTTTGAATAGATCAACACAGTGAAAACCGTTTTTTTGTTACCCATACGGAATTCGAGAATAAAATTGTTGATCAAACTAACTTTTTCAACCCCTTGTGGAATTGAAACCAGATGATGTGCGTGCATAAAAATCGCATAAGTCTTATGGAATCTTGGGTAGATTGACGATCCTCTACGTCGGCATGTGTGGCCAGAAATCTGTGGATAACTTCACGCCAATAGATAAAACACGTAATCCCTAAGGTTTTGGGCGGAAAAGGCGGCATGCTCCGGATGTGTTTCACACCACAGAGCATGCAATCTCGCCATGTACCATCTTCGCGCAGGCTCACTACTCTCGTAGCAATACATAAGGCTATCTCTTAGCTCATGCGTCCACTCAAAACGTCCGTTTTCATTGCCAGGGTTGTCATCGGTAGAAAAATCATCGTTATGGGCCCCACCACCTTGCCTCTGACCCCTCCGATTGTGTGGGCCCTTTCCTTGATTATTGGAAACCCAAGTGTAGGGTCCACCGGGTGGTTAGCCTTGTGGACCCACGGC